ATGAATGATTATGAAGTTGATTTGTATGAAATGTGCCCACTTCATATTCTAACTGAAATGGGACAAGGCATAAGGCCCATTCTGCCCTTGGGAGGTCCATTGGTCACTGAAAGCTTTCAAAGCAGTAGTGTGTGTTCACTTTAACAAGCTATCTACTTTTACGCTATGTTGACTGGATTTTTTTTGTGCCTTCCAAAACCTGTAAAAGAAAAGGAGGGAAGAGAGGCTGAACCCATCTGAAAGGATATTTACTTCTTTGCCCGGAGAAGCAGATGTGTAAACCTCACCTTGTCACCTCTACAATCCCAGTTGGCAATCTCCATGGTCACTAGCCTCAATGATCATCAACCCCAGTCTCCTTTTTGAACTCTGGCTTTTTCCCAGTAATACTCCAGTGCTTCTCCTCATTTCCTCATCTCCACCCTCATTCTCAACTTCTGTAGTAATTCATTCTCCTGTAAACGATCCCCCTGCCCCCACCCCACCCACCACAATTCTGTACCCACTCATGCAAACTCTATCCAACAGCTACTAAATCTAAGTGTTCCAAGGCTGTGGTCTTGTATAAAATATATACATCATGCTAGCCAACCTTCCATTCATTCACTCCATCTGTACTTCTCGCTGCCTGGGAAGGCAGCCAATGTAATCAAAGATCCCTCCCACCCCGATTATAATCACTTCCAACCTCTTCTGTTGGACAGAAGATATAAAAGCTTAAACAAGTGTACTAACAGATTCAAGAACAGCTTCTTCCCCACTGTTATCAAACTTCTGAATGGACCTCTCAAATTGTAAATTTAATGTTGATCCCGCTCTCTGTGCGCCTTTTCTGCAGCCATAACATTGTATTCTTTGCTCTGTTCTATTACCCTAATGCACTTTGTATGGTATGATCTGCCTGTACTGTACGCAAAACAAAACTTTTTCACTGTATCTAGGTACATGTGATGATAATAAATCAAATCAAATCAAAGCAATGGGATTTCTCTATCAGACAGGAATAAAGCCTACTGATTAAGTTGGCTTAGAATCATAGAATAGAATCCTTACAGTGCAGAAAGAGATCATTTGGCTTATCAAGTCTGAACCAGCCTTCCAAAGAGCGCCCCACCCAAACCCAGCCTCTACTCTATCCCACATTTATCATTGCTAATCCAAATACACGTACATCCCTGGACACAATGGGGTAATTTAGTATGACCAATCTACCTAACCTGCTCATCTTTGGACTGTGGGAGGAAACTGGAGCGCCTGGAGGATACCAATACAGACAAGGGGAGAGCATACAAACTCCACACAGACAGTCACCCAAGGCTGGAATCAAAACTGGATCTCTAGCTTGCAGGTAAATAATTTGTTTAGAAACCAATATATATGTTACAGACTAAAAACTCCATAACATTGCTGGTAGATCTGACTTCAGTCATTCCCAATTAAATTTCATTCCTTTGCACTAATAGCAATGGTAAGAACTAAAAATGGAAATCTGAAACAAAATCAAAAAAAGTGCTGGAGAAACTCAGCAGGTCTGGTGGCATCTGTGGAGAGAAAGCAGAGTTAATGTTCCAAGTTTTGTGGCCCTTCTTAATTGAGATTTAAAACTGAATTTAATAATGAATATGTTGATCAGAGTGAAATGTGCCTGATTACAGCTCCTGAATTTGGTATCTAGCAGGAAACTGTGAAACTTAGCAAATCAATGTATGATTTTAACCTTTGCAATTAAAAATCACTGCCCATCAATGTCTGGTGAAAGCATCAGATTTCAGGATTAATTTTACACTGGGCATGTGGGATCATCTTGAGTGGCAAAAATAGCCTCTTTATTGAGCATCCGCAGTGGCACAGTTCAAGGCAGTGATGGAATCTACAGTACAGTTTTACAGTAGCCTCTTTACACACAGATTTTACATACATTAAAATGTTAGCACTATGGTGTCACATAGTTGTATCTATTGTACACAGGTTTGTGTGACATCTGTCCTGGGGAATTAGGAGATGGTTTAAGCACTTGCTAAATGCTGGCTGTTACTCCTGATGGGATTAGAATGCCTGTCCGATCTGAGCTTGCTTAATTAAGAAGTATTAGTCCTTTTGTTTTTAAAGTTAGTAATGTTAGTAAAAATACTAGACCTATATGACCGAAGTAAGTGAGAAATTATATGTTTACTAAATAAAAGTACAGAGGGTATTAAACTGATCTCCTGCAGTTGGGTGATGAAATTTTATTTACTATTGCTGGTTTGGACATTCTTACACATTCATTCATGCAGTTTTACGGAAGCACAGTTTTGATTGTAAGTTTCTTAAAGGGGGTAGCGGCCCTATGTAATGTGTATTTAAAAAGTATAAATCCATACGTTAGTACAAGATGGTAATCTTAAATAAAAGTTGTACAGTGTTATAGAAATAGGCAGTGTATAAGGTAATTTCAAAGACAGAAAAAGCAGCAGACTGTGGGACATACTGGTGTGGGAAACTGATATCCTGCAGCCTATTCAGGTCCTGATCCATGGTTATTAATGGCTAAATTAATATTATAATCTTTCCATAGTTTTGAGTGCGTTATGGAGATACGATGGGGGAAATGGCATTGTTCTGAGTATGTTACAGTATTAACACCTATTCAGGGGCAGCCTTTGATACAGAAACAGGTCTAAACACTGCTTGCAACATGGGGATGATAAGAATTGAAAGGTGTAAAGAAACAGTAATGGATTGGAAGGGATGTTTAATTTAGTTTAACTTGTAAGAGTAAAATATACCACAAAAATGCAGTTTTATGACTGAATGAGTGGAAACGGGCTATAGTAAACACAGGGCACTTGTGAGTGAGTTAGTAAAAAGAATCATAATACAATATCTCACAGGGACACAGGATGATTTATTTGGATTGCCCATCTGCAACATGGTGTTGATAAAGGGTGTATTAACAAGATAATAATACTTCCTTGGCAGCTTTGACCCTGGTGTGATTATGATTTGTAGCTTGATATTGACTGTGTTAAGCAATAACTAGTGTGGTTCGGGAACACCACACTGGCATGGCAGTCTCTGTCACAATAGCTGTAGATGAAGACAGTCACCTGAGGACAAATGGGATTCACTGGCTCCTATTTTCTCTGAACTTTATTCTTGGCCAGCTGAGGTTTCCATTTCTCCTTACTATCCAATGTGCCTCATAAATGTCTGCATTGACACCTCCCAACTTCAAACCATTTTGTGCAAGATGAGTGTCCTTTTAGTAGAGCTGGTTTAGTTGGTTAAAGCGCCTGTCTAGTAAACAGGAGGCAAAAACAGAAGTTGCTGGAAAAGCTCAGCAGGTCTGGCAGCATCTGTAAAGAAAAAATCAGAGTTAACATTTCAGGTCCAGTGATCCTTCCTCAGAACTGTTCTTATTTTGTTTTTGTTCCTGTTTTGTTTCTGTTCCTGCTTTACAGCATCCACAGTTCTTTTGGTTTTTATTTAATAAACAGGAGATCCTGGGTTGTTCAAATCCCAGCAGTGCCTGTACCTTACATTGGGCGGCACGGTGGCTCAGTGGTGACTAACACTGCTGGTTAACACTGCTGCCTCACAGCACTAGGGACCTGTGTTCAATTCCAGCCTTGGGCAACTGTCTGTGTGGAGTTTACACATTCTCCCTGTGTCTGTGTGGGTTTCTGCCAGGTGCTCTGGTTCCTTCCCACAGTCCAAAGATGTGAAAGTTAGGTGGATTGGCCATGCTAAATTGTCTAGGGATCTGTAGGTTAAGTGGTTTAACCATGGGAAAAGTAGGGCTACAGTGTAGGTGTGAGTCGATGTTGACTTGTTGGGCCGAATGGCCTGTCTCCACACTGTATGGATTCTATGATTCTATGAATAGCTGGTGAGGAGGTCATGACCTAGTTGCCAATTCACCATTTAGAAGATATTTGGGTGAATGATGGCTGTATACCTGATGAACCAGCATTAGAGGCATTTGCTTAGTCATGAGTGTACGCTTTTAGAAGAAGGATGATCAAAGGTGAGAGGAGAAAGATTTAAAAAAGACATGAGGGGCAATTTTATTTTACAAAGAGTGGTTTGTGTGCGGAATGAACTTCTAGAGGAAGTGGTGGATATGGATGCAGTTAAAATGTTTAAAGACATTTGGAGAAGTACATGAATAAGAAATGTTTTGAGGGTTATGGGCTAAGTGTAGGCAGGTGGGACTAGTTTAGTTTGGGATTATGGTTGGCGCAGACTAGTTGGACTGAAGGTTTGTTTCTGCGCTGTATGACTCTATGACTCTATAAATGTGAGTTGATGACCTAGCCTTGTCAAGGGATGCCAGGGATGAGAAAGCAAGATAGAAACTGTTCAACTCAATGTGGAGCTGGAGGAACACAGCAGGTCAGGCAGCATCAGAGGAGCAGGAAAGTTGATGTTTCTGAAGAAGGGTCCTGAACCGAAACATCAACTTTCCAGCTCCTCTGATGTTGCCTGGCCTGCTGTGTTCCTCCAGCTCCACACTGTGTTGAACAGTTTGTGCCTTGCTCTCTCATCCCTGACATCCCTTGATTCCACTGATACTGAGAGTACTTTTTAATCCACAGATATGTTTCAATATGTGGTTTGACAATTCAATATAAACTTTTAATGAAAGCAAGTGATGGTATGATCATTGCATATGGAAGAACAGTAACTTTACTGAGAAAATTAAACTGCAAGTGTATTAAGCCTATGTCCTCAGTACACAATCATTTCAAACTAATTCACAGACCGGCAAACCCTATATTCAGCACACCCTGCATTCTCACAGTGTAATCTTCTGTCAGTTTTTGCATTTTTACCTCTAATTAGAAATATGCCCAATCAATACGAATATTATTTAAACAGAGTACAAATTAAGAACAAATCTACAGAAACCATTAAGCATATTTGTTTTGATTTCCATTGCTAGGACTGTAGTCTGCCAACGTAATCGAATCATGAATGTTTGTGTATTGGTTTGATTTTTATTCCTTCTATTTTAGAGAAGCAGTCCTTTGTGCAATTCATTGCTGTACGTGACCAAAGACCACTTCTAAAAGGTAATATCATTTTATAACAACTAATAATGATTAACATTAATATTTAATATGTTATTAATAGTAAGTGGAAATGATGTAATTGTGTCCAGTTATTGTCTGCGGAATTCACCACTCTGTCATATTTATGGATTGTTAGTGAACGATTGTCTGAAGTATATGCACGAAAGGCCACAGTCAACCTGTCGAGTTGAGCGAAGATCTGTTTCCAATGAAAACAGTAAACGTAAGTGTAAATATTGAATTATATCTCATAGCTGTTTGGTTTGGAGTTCGATTTAAAAGCATCTGCCTTGCTTTTGCCTCTGGTGATGCACTGTGAGGTCTAGCCTAGGAAGAAGTCCTGTGAAAACAGGAGTTAGAAACAGTTTGCCTTTCAGCTTGGGATTTCCTGTTCTCCTGGCTCAATGTACAGTTAGGATTTTAGAAGGAGAGGGTGTGTCTGTGAGTAATCTTTGTATTTACACATGCGCTCACCCCTATCTTTCTCCATACAGACCTACCTCATGACTCATGCCCTCTGACCCCTGGAAGGCTAAGTGCAGCAGTCCTTTATCACGCAGGATGAAAAAAAATTACTGTCCCCAAGAACATAGGTTTGTCTCTGGCACATAAGTTACATAAACTATTCTAGCCATCTTTCTGCTCATTTCTCATACCGACAGGGCCATAAACACATAAGCATCACATCATTCCACACACTCATATGTAACTTTGGTCAATCTCTTTGGCACATCACTTATAGGAAGATCAGCAGATGACATATATTCAGTCATGTCGCCTTCTCTTGTGATACAACCACATAAGACATAGGAGCAAAAATTAGCCATTCAGCCCATGGTGTCTGCTCTGCCATTCAATCATGGCTGATACGGTTCTCAACACCATTCTCCTAATTTCTTCCCATAACCCTTGATCCCCTTGACAATAAAGAACCTATCTGTCCCCGTCTTAAAAATACTCAATGACATGGCCTCCACAGCCTTCTGTGGCAATGAATTCCATAGATTCACTACTCTCTGGCTGAAGAAGTTTCTCCTTATCTCCGTGCTAAAGAGGCCTTCCCTTTACTCCACGGCTGTGCCCTCAGGTCCTAGTCTCTCCTACCAATGAAAACATCTTCTCAACATCCACCCTGTCCAAGCCATTCAGTACGCTGTATGGTGTGTGTGTCCAGCGTGTGCATTTTGGTGTATGTGTGTCCAGAGAGTGTCTAGTGAACTGTGCATTTATACAGTCTTAGCCTCCTTTTAGTTTTTAGAGCTTTGCAATTTAAAACTAACCAGAAGCAAATCTTCAGTTTTAGACAAGATTAAAAGTTGTTTTGTTACAGAAATACTTCTTACAGGTTATTCAGTAAAATAAATGATTTTACTTAGAAAATAGAATACCGATACAAAGATTAAAAGTTGACACAGACAAAAGATGCTTATAAATATGAAAATAATTTCAGTCAATTCTCATTGCTGGCTTTTTACTTGGTTGAAGATTCTCTTTCAAAGAGAGGCGGTTGAAAATTTGAAGTCAAATTCAGCAGCTGTGATGGCTTCTGTAATTGAATAGTTGAAAGTTTCTCCCACAGGTGAACTGAGCAGAACAGGTTCTGAGTGGGAGTGCAGCCTCCTATAATTTAGTTTTATCACACTGCTGGTATTGGTGCTTGATAGCCTGGTTCAGTACAGCCGTTCTTCATTGTTTTGACTTTATCGCTTCTCCTCATTAAGAAGCGTGTCTCCAATGCTGACTCTCGGGGCTTTTCTCTTAGGCTATGAGAAACTATTTGAAACATAACCCTATCTGATACACATCAAACTTAAGATGCCTACTATTTTAACATTTGATGAATTGCTATTCCATAAAGTAAAGTTAGTAATGCTGAATTCCCTTGACGGGTCCTGTTTCCCTTTGAAACTTTGAATCCTTATACCTTTAAGAATTAATTGTCTTTTCCAAGGGTTGATGAAATTTTAAATGGCTTCATTTTCTGGTTGATTTTTTAAATCTCAAAACTATGATTTAATCATAAAAATATCTTTTTGTACACAAACACAAACACACACACACACACACACACACACACACACACTCAGGCACAATCACAAACGCAGTTGGTTCTCTATAATAGTATATGAAGAAAACAAGCAAACATTGGAGTTTTGCTGTATCCAACAAACAAACCAATGGCATTTCTTACTTGAACCATACTATACTTACATGCATTTAAGGCACGCGAGGGTCCAATAACTGAACAGACCCCCATTTAACTTCAGCGGGAATGTCTCAGTCAGTGGTCTTTCTCCACTGCACCTTGGTGACAGCTGCCCAAGTTTTATCTGTCTTTCTTGCCAGTGAGAATCACTAGGGACAGTGACATGACTCCAAGGAACCATTTTTTAAGTTGCTGTGTCCATTTTATAAAGTCAGATTAGCCTTCTTTATAAAATATATATTATAATCACACGGTCTTGTCATCAGGTTACACTGTATGTGATACCACCTAATAAAGAATGACCTCTAACACATAGCTACATTGCTGCCTACACACATGAGAAATACCTCAATGCCCTTCATTCCTCAATGAAGCGTGGCAATGCAATATTCTCTGAATGAGAGTATCCTTACAATGATGCACTCGATTATCAAGTGAAATGTGAAATTATAGGGGAGGCAGAAGCATAGTGGTAATGTCACTGGATTAGTAATCCAGGTTTATTCTGGGGACGTGGGTTCAAATCTGACCATTATGGTGAAATCTGATTTCAATAAAAATCTAGAAATAAAGATGTGGTGATCAGGTGACCATTGTTGATTGCTATTGAAACTTCTCATTCACTAATGTCCTTTAAGGAAGGAAAGCTGATATCCTTACTTGGTCTGGCCTACTTGTATCACCAGATCTACAGCAATGGGGTTGACACTTAACTGCTCTCTGAAATGGTCCCCAGCAAGCCACTCAGGTCAAGGGGCAATTAGGATTGTGCAATAAATGCATGTGAGCATGCTACCAGCTGATGAGATTGGTGCTGGTTCCATGGATTGAAATTATCAGATGTCCCACCACACCAGTGTGCTTGAGACCTTGATGATCCTGCAGAGCTGTAGAGATATCCTTTTTGATCTCAATTGCTGGAGGCTCTGGACTGACTGACAGATGGGATGAGAGTGCCCTCAGGACAATTGACTGACACTCTTCATCCCTCTCGGTACACCATAACAACTCCCTGTTACCCTGAGAAGGAGCACCTTGTGGGAGATTCAAGTGCCTTGTTCCCCACTTGACTAGCCACTGATTTTTAGATGTCAGAGCAAACAAATGCAGGTTTTCATGCATATGGATCATATGATAGATCTGGCTCTCCATTGGCAGTACCCAACATCTCCATAGAGGAAACCATGCATTCATATGCTACAGTCATGGCAGAATTTACACTTGGATGACCGAGTCCTCCATCTTTACATTACTCCACTGACACCGTTGCTGGATTTTCTCCAATCTGACTCTGCATCTCCAGCTGGCACCCCGTGACCAACCAGAGACCTCTTATTAGCCTTGGACTCAGCATTGATATGGGCATGCGAGTGTAACTGAATTGGTGGAAAATTTGGGAGACAGATGATGGTTTTTTCAAAGCTGGTTCTAGGCCTTCCTTCCTATGGTGATGACCTGTAGTGTAGAGCAACAAGAGAGACATTAACTAAAAACTCAGTCTATCAGAAAACCACAGTTTCACATGCTGGACTCCATAGCTGAACTCTCCTCTGAACTGAACATTCCTTCCCTCACATTATTTAGTTAAAACTCTTCCCTAGAGGTCTAGTGATGGAATTCAACAATACTCAAATCCCTGTCCAGATTTAGTAAAGGTCATACCAATGGTGCAGCCCCTCTCTTCCTCCCATACTAACCTTTTGAGTCATGTATTCAACTCCATGATCTTATTTACTCAATGCCAATTTACTCCTCCTCAGTTGTAATGCAGAGATTATTATCTTTGAGGTTTTGTTTGTTTTAAACTTAGCTGCTCATACCCCCTCAACAGAGACATTCTTATTCCTACCAATGTTGTTGGTACCCATAGGCACCATGGCAACAAGATTCTTCCCCTCCCACTCCTCTCCAGTGCTGAGAAGATGCGCATAACTTTGGTACCATGCAAGGAACATGATCTTTGCGATTCTTGCTATCAGCTATATAGAACAGTTTGCAAACCCTCCCTCCCTCCCTCCCCACATTTATGGCCCCCTGCACCAAGGTCCTGTGAAAATTTGCATCAGGCTTCCTCTCGACCCTGCTCGTCCACAGAAACTGCAAGAACGTTGAACAATATAGATGAAAGCAAGGGCTGAGATTATTCCGCTGCCTCCTTTGGATTCTCTGCTTGCCTGTCTTGTCCCTTCCCTGTCCGTGACCATGAACCAATCTGAACTGCATAACTTAAGGGTGGGGTAGGGGATGGTGACTGCGTCTTGGAGGAAGGTGTCCACATAACATTATCCCTCCCTGATGTATCACAAAACTTGGATTCCAACTCTCAGCTGAAGTTGCTGATGTGGTTGCAACCGATCACACTAGTATCCATCTACATCCATGTACTTTGGCTGCAACTCATCTGCCTTTTTTGTTTCATTTAACCAATTGGCTTTCAAGTTTAGAAATATTACTCAACTATTATCCAAAAGTTGTGGAGTTTAAGTAGTCATTCTATCTATCCTGCCTGGACAGCTATCAGGTTTTGCTATTTTCAACTCCTGATCTTGTACTAACCCTATTTTGTAAAAAGAACAGAATGGCACCTCCTCCCTTATTTCTCTCACTTCCCAAATTCTACAGATAAACACTCACGGAACTGTACAAGTATACTGCACAGAAATAAAAAAGAAAAGTCATTTGACCTGTCCTATCTATTTCAGTCGTTTACTGAACCATACAAACAAATTCCATTGATTCACATGTTTGATTTCAAATGTTTATTTAATTCTCTTTGAAAGATTCAGTAGCCTCAGCCTTAATCACATGCTGTTGTAAAGTGTTCAAGCTCCGATAGCCCTCTACATGAAGGAAATTCTTCTAAACACTTCCTTCACTGCTATGGTCTTGACCAACATTGTTTTTGGGGTTTCCTTTTCTTTAAATATGGTAGCAATTATATATTTCCATTAAAGACATTTAATTCCACAAGATCATCAACCATGTTCAACTTCCATTACTGGAAAATTGTACACATGTACAAGCAATTGAGATATGGATATAAAAGAGACCAAGAGGTTATGTGAACTAAAGTATAACTATCCGCAGTTCCACAGCCACACCAACAAAATACTGAGATGACACAAATTTATTTTTTCATTCGTAGGACATTGGCGTTGCTGGCTGGCCAGCATTTATTGCTCGCCTCTGGTTGCCGTTGAGAAAGTGATAGTGAGCTGCCTTCTTGAAATATTGCAGTCCATGTCTTTTAGGTAGACCCACAATGCCCTTAGGGAGGGAATTCTGGGATTTTAACCCAGCGACAGTGAAGGAACAGCGATATATTTCCAAGTCAGGATAGTGAATGGCTTGGAGGGGAACTTGCAGATCGTGGTGTCCCCATGTATCTCCTGTCCTTGTCCTTCTAGATGGAAATGATTGTGGGCTTGGAAGGTGCTCTATGAGGATCTTTGGTGAATTTCTGCAATGAAGGTGTTTTGTTCATTTGGTTTTCTTTTAGGTTTCAAATTGAGATTGTGAATGTCATGTCCATACCAGCCTCTTTCCAGCTTTACCTTAATCCATACTGTGCTTACCATAATAAAATATATGGGGGTACACTTAGATAAATGAGAAATACTTAGCTCAAAACAATCACTATTTAAATGCCAATTAAATACAGCAACATACCTTCCCTCTTTCTTCTCCTTTTTGCTTCCCTCTCTCTGTAATTGCTTAAAAGCTATTTTATCTCCAACTTTGTTCATTGCTGGCCTCAGGTAATTGGCCTGAAACATCATCAGGTGAAATTTTAAAGTTTTTACTCTTTGGAAGTTTGGTTGACGAATTTTGAGCAAAGGTTTGGGAGGGTTGGCATGGGTTTGGACAGATATTCCACAGGAAACTGGGAAGTATGTGCAATGCTTTTATGGGTTGTTTTTAATCCAGCCACCATATTTGCATCTAACCTGCTGGTTTTCTGGGTGGCTGCAGTGATGACTTGAGTCTATTTTAGTTGAACCGTTTAAAGAGGAACTGTAAAAATGACAGTTGAGAGATTGCGCAGATGGCAGAACAGAGGAAGCAACTGTGGTAATGGATTCTCAAATATAGCAAGGCTGCACCTTGTTTCAAAGGAGCTTCCCTTCTGATGGGAAGGTAAAGGAAATATCATCTCTTCAGAGAGCAAGAAAGCAGAACCGCAGTTCACCGCAGATCTTATACTGATGGATGGAAACCTGACAGTAGTTTAATGACGTTCTGTGGAATGCAACGGTTCAAGAAGGCAATTCACCACCACCTTCCTCAAGGGTAACTAGGGATGGGCAATAAATGCTGACCCAACCAACAGTTGCATGATAGAATTGGGCAATTAAAAGAGAGGCAATGGCCTAGTGGTATTATCGCTGGACTGTTAATCCAGAGACCCAGGTAATATTCTGGGCACCTGGGTTCGAATCCCGCCACAGCAGATGAAGGAATTTGAATTCAAAAATAAATCTGGAATTAAGAGCCTAATGATCATCATGAATCCATTGCTGAATGTCAGGTTCACTAATGTTCTTTAGGGAAGGAAACTGCCATTCTTTCCTGGTCTGGCCAATGTATGACTCCAGATCCACAGCAATGTGGTTGACTCTTAATGCCCTCTGCCCAATTAGAGATGGGCTATAAATGCTGCCTAGCCAACAAATGAATGAATGAATAAAGAAAAAAAAGTGTATATCACCCCAACATTGTATTCCAAAGTCTATTCCAACATATCTGTCCTTATACCAAGTTGCATATGTACCCATCCCTTCCTGTCATCCAATTGAATTGTCAGTTGTTGGTAATGTTACAAGACACATGCAGACAATGTACCAGCTCAGAGACACCCACCTCAACGGGACTACTAAGGCACACATTTGCTTTAGAGTCACATCAGATGTTGTAATCTTATAGTATTTACACATGCACTTTTTAGTCAGAATTATAGTAATCCTGATTCATTTTGCCCTGTTGCAGGTCAAGGAGTGCTAAGACCAATCACAATCTGTCTTCAATTACTCTGACAGAGTGGGTTAATGCACTGTAGAATGAAACACAAACCTGGAATCATCTTCACTTTTCTTAGTTACTTTCAATTAAAAAAGAATATACAACTTGTTGACATCTTAAAACAATTCCCTGATGAGTTTTATTTGCAATTATATTATAGAGGAGACAACCATCCCATGGATTCTAAGTTTGAAAAATGGAAATGCTCTTGTGAAAAAGGACAACAACATCTTGATCAAAGAGGCTGGCTACTTTCTGGTGTACAGTCAGGCAAGTTGATGGTTTGTTATTCTGGGATTTGTGTTTAAACGATTGGCAGAGTTCTTTACTTACTATGTTCTTGAATTTCAAGGTGTGGTATAAGGATAATTCATTTACAATGGGACATTTTATCCAGAGGAGAAAGGCCAATAGTGTTGGCAGTGAACCACGAACTGTGATCCTATTTCGGTGTATCCAAAATATGTCTGCCTGTTGCCCAAATGATTCTTGCTTTACAGCTGGTAAGGATTTAATTTAGAGCTTGCGTTGGCTTGTTCAATTTTTTTTTTCTCTTTTTACACCGTTTCTGACCATCTATTTCTTTTCAATCAGGCATTGCAAACCTTGAAGTGGGGGATGAACTCGAACTAATAATACCACGAATTCAAGCACAAATTGCATTAAAGGGAGATGGGACTTTTTTTGGGGCAATAAAACTGCTTTAACCATTGATTAAGACTGTAGAGGCAAAATGGTGTCTATTGTTTGCAAAAAAAAAGTGAACTAAGAATAGAGACCTGTCAGTATCAGCTTCCTTCCTGGCTTGTGGTCAACATATGGTAAAATATTTCTGTTTCAGAATATCAAAGTGGCTCTGTACAAAAAAGTAATCAAAAGGAACACCTCCAGTTAGAATCAGTAAAATTGTTTCCATAATTTATTTTGTTGTGTTCGATGCCGTATGATGTTAATTGTGTGAAGCCTCCATTACTGCTTCACTATTAAAATAGTTCCACATAATAAAGAAAAGGATGACGACAACTAGGGTAAAATAAATGGCTTGTCCATAATAGAACAATATTACTTTTAATTATGGTGGTCATCAGTGATCTTCAGTATTAGTCAACGGTTCTTTCTCAATAAGACATTAAAAAGGACCAGCTCCACGTATGTTCACAAAGTGAACAATGATGCACAAACTCTTCAATACAGATGTTTGAAAATGTGAATAAAAACCAAGACAACTGGAGATGCTGTAAATCAGAAACGAAAATAGAAATTGCTGGAAAAGCTCAGCAGGTCTGGCAGCATCTGTGGAGAGAAATCAGAGTTAATGTTTCTGGTTGAGCGACCCTTCTTCAATCTCTGCTTTTGTTTTTATTTGAAAATGCAATTGAGTTGTGACATAGAGCTGTGGCATGTCAGAACGAACAAATATTGACCGGGACAAAAATTAAATTCAGCCCATATAGGTGATTGGAATGAGGGCCAGGTGGATCTTATTGACTATGATATCTTTGATTGGCACTGTTGAACCGGGCCAATCAGGGAGCCCTGGCTGACAGATATAAACAGGAGATTTAAGGAGTCTCCTCATTGTCGGGAGTGGCTCTGAGCTGGCTGGACAGAGACCATGGACTGTGCACGTGTAAACAGAGGGTGACTTGGTGACAGGATATCAGCCTCGTGCAATTATTTCAGCCCATAACCTCAGTTCCCATTCTAAAGATATTGTGGAGGAGATTGGATTCTTAATGAAAACAGAAGATATGAGAGAAGCTCAGCAGGACTGGCAGTATCTCTGCAGAGAGAAACAGTTAACTTTTCAAGTCCAGTGCGACTCTTCTTTGGAATTGAAGAATCACGCTGGAGTCAAAACATTAACTCTGTTTCTCCATCCAGAAATGCTGCCAGACCTGCTGAGTTTCTCCAGCACTCTCTTTAACTTTCAGATTTCCAGCATCTGCTTTTATATGTGTTCCTCGTGGTATTTGGCAATGACAAAGCCCTGGAAGTAGACAGTATGCTTTCCCTCTCTCAGCAAGGGACATACAGAACAAATGGCCCACCAACGGAAGAAACTTGGAATAATAAATAATTTCTTAAAAAGTCAAAATTTTCTAAAATTAGTAGGTATTTTTGGTCATGAAAATGTTTGTCACAGAATGATAAATGATTTCTTTGTTTTGGAAAGTATATAAGGGAAATATTGTTCAAGGTGTGTACTTAATTTCACCAGGCCATGTGATAGTTAGGTGCAGGGCTGGATATGTGATAGTTATGCATGTTTTAAATATCTTGGTTTTCATTAATTATTTCAGGTTTTGTATCTCATAAAATTAATTCATCAAAATAGTGAAATTTATTTACAGAATTCTCAATTGTTCTAATTGGATTTTATAATGTAACTAGAACTATTTTTAAAGATGCCTTAGAGATGAATGCAAAAGGCATGTTAAGAGAAGTATAATTATTGCCCATCTCTAATTGCCCTTGAGCTTGGGCTTTTTGCCCTACATTTACTCTGTTTTTTACACGGATTTATTTAAAGGTTTTTAAAGCTGGTCTGAAAGCTGCTGAGCAGCGTAACTCTGACAAATCACTCCAGCGCCTTCAGCAAGCAATGCTCAGCCCCAACGTGGTAATTTTCGTGAGAATCTCCCCCTAGATGGTATTCACTCCCCTCCAACACCACAGAATTATTCTCACCCCCAGCAACCCCCAAACCTCCTGACTCACCCTGCAGAAACCTGGCACCTGTCCAGACAACTTTTGAGGTAATCTGCATTGCCAGGGAGGTGGAGATGGAGAGTGGGGTGGTGGGACGAAGGAGAACACTATTGGGAAGATTGAACAAGGGGGTAATCAGTGTCAGAGAATGTCGGTTTGATCACTTATAGGGCTGACCACTGTCAGAGGTTAGGAGTTAATCACTGTTGGCAGGAGTGAGTTAGCTATCACTGTCAGGGCAGGAGTTACGTGGATCTTCACACAAAAAGAATTGCCAGCTACCGGATAATTACTAATTATTCATAATTACATGAACACTTGCAGCCTTAAGATGTTTAAAGTTAAAAGGTTACTTAATTAACTGCCATAAAATGAAAACGGGTCTTGGTTTGACTTCCTGATTATCCTACGTGGATTGTCTAAGACGACGCAGTTGGATTTTATGTACACTTCAGATCTCTGAATTGGAACTGCCAGTGAGAAATGTGGAGATCAGTGCTAACGCAAGAACGTAAGAGAGCAGTGGTTATCTGAAGTGATCCTGTCTTCCTCAGATGATTCAGGCCATCATACCGTGTGAGGTTGGTGTGTGACTAGGAGGGGAGCTTGCAGGTCTCCATGCACCAACTGTCTGTTCTTCAGGCATCTAGGATTGTCAAAGGAGGCTTGGCAAGATGTTGCAGTACATTTCATATAACACACACTATTCTGCCAGGGGTACATGAGATGCCAATCAACCAGCGACATTAAATTGGAGCAAATTTCTCAGTGTTGTACAAACATTAGACCTTTCCGTTCATCAGTTCATAATGAACATTTGAAGAAAGCTGTTCCCATAAAGTAGTACATGGAGGACATTAGGGAAGTATATGTGAGGTATAAATTTGCTTGGTGTTTGAGTATTAATCAACAATCAGCTCAGTGTTGCATGTTCTCCTTCAAGACAAAAAGTTGTCTGCTCAAACCCCATCCTGAGCCTAAGCACATTTTCTAATCTAGAATCTGTACAGTGTGGAAGCAGGCCATTCAGCCCATCAAGCCCACACCAACCTGCTGAAGAGCATCCCACTCAGGCCCACACCCCCACCCTATTCCTGTAACCCTGTATTTCTCATGGCTAATCCACCTAACCTGCATATTGTTGGACAGTGGGAGGAAACCACAGCACCCGAAGGAAGCACATGCAGACACGGGAGAATGTACAAACTCTATACAGGCTGTTACCTGAGGGTGAAATCAAACCGGGTCTCTGGTGCTTGAGGCAGCAGTGCTAACCACTGAGCAACCGTGCTATCCTCATCTTACACTTCAGTGCAATCCCAAATAAATGCTGCATTGTTAGAGGTGTTGTTCATCATTAAAATGATGCACTGTTTGTCTGTTCAATTTACTATTACATGATGCCAGGGTGATATTCAAAGTTGAAGCAGGAAATATACCTGATATGTGGTCTAATATTTTGCTGAAGCAATTACCCTGACACAACAATGTGTTTGCTTTACTCTGTGTCAGCACAACGTGTTTAATCAATCAAGCAGAGGGAGCCTATCAATCAATCAACAGGTACACGCAATCAAACTTAGAACATTGAACATTACATGATTACATTCCTATTTGTGAATGATTGCTATGTGTAAATTGACTTCTGCATTTCCGAATTACCAAAGTAAGACATCTAGTAGCCCTGAAATGCTATGTTGCTGGGTGCAAGTTTTTCTTGCATTTAAGAATTGAAAACTGATTTATGTAATGGTCTTCAAAAGCTTCTGTGGTTTAGATTGTCCAGTTGCTGAGGGTGACAGTGATAGCTTATTCCAATCAAGATGTAGAATTTAAACGCCGATATGCTTTAGCATAGCTTAATAGGCAGATTGCAAATAAAAATTTGGTGACATGAATTGAAGATGGTGATGCACACAAAGCCATGTGGAGGTGCCGGTGTTGGACTGGGGTGGACAAAGTCAGAAGTCACATGACTCCATGTTATAGCCTCTTATTAATATGCAATAAACTATATTTTAATCACTACAAGATACTCTTCTAGTTAGACCATGAAGTAGCTTTCCTCAATCACATTCAACCAACCAGATCGAAGAAAGATGACTGGGCCAGAAATGTTAACTCTGCTTTCTCTCCACAGATGTTGCCAGACCCTGTTGAGTTTCTCTGTTGAAAAAATTCTGTTTTTGTTTAAGATTTCCAGTATCTGCAGTTCTGTGTTTTATTTTGGTTAACCTACAATCATATCCTACATTCAGCATGGAATGTGTTCAGGTTAACGTTAGCAAAGAATGTTATACCTGTATCTTGGTAAGGCAGTAAGAAATCTATTTACATAAATCCTGAGAGACCATTGTGCATGAGTTGTTGTAAACAGAGTGTCTTGTGTTGCAATCAATCTGGGTCACGATTTAAGCAATATGTCTGTATGAGTTTGTGTATATCCTTGTTGAGTTGAAATTCTATTTTACAAAAGATCAATATGAACCCAGCAATGATGTCTGTGTTCAGAATTTGACTCCCTTTTTGCTGATGCCCTCTGCATCCATGTTCCTACCATCTACTCCACACACTGATCTACATCATAACTGGCTGCATTTACTTACAAACAGAAACATCAGAGACATTAAAGTGCCTTATTAATGTCGATAAGGCATAGTGTGCTTACCTGAAACTCAACCTTCTGCTTCACAATTAAGTGTTGCCACTGTTCAATGGCTAGCATAGTAACCAAGAAACAGGAGTAGGACATTCAATCCTCCACCATTCAGTTAGATTATGGCTACATCCCAATGTGTTCTTATGGTGGTCTGACAAGACCTTTACGCGACTGTAGTATAATTTTTATGTTTTCTTCTACCTCTGTTGTAGTGAAGTCAATTATTCTAAAACCTGATTGTTTGGAAAATAAAACTAACAAATATCTTATCATCTAGTCTTAACTTCTGAGGGGGAGGCAATGGCCTAGTGGTATTATCACTGCACCATTAACCCAGAGACTCAGATAA